GTTCCCTCACTGTTTCCAGGATGGCTTCGTGGGCCACATGAAACCACTTCGCGGGTCGCATCCGGCCCCCGGGCCTTGTGTTTGACATATCTGTTTTATAACATTACATTTGAACTTCCCTCCTGTCAGTTTGAGGTTGTGCCTCTTGTTCCTAATTTTTGCTTAATATTGAAAATACTGCCTTTTAGAACCTTATTCACACCCTTAACATATTTAAAAGTTTAGGTCATGTTACCCCTTTAACTTCTGTCTCTCCCACCTTTATGTATTCATTTCCTCCAATCTTTCCTGATGCATTTTGTCCCTCAGACCTTGCACCATTTTTGTTGTCCATCTCTGGATTCACTCAGTCTTAGTATTATCTTTCTTTAAGTGAGATTTCTAGAACTGGACACCGTATTCTCCAAATGGGGTCTGACTAAATTCTATATGTAGAAATTAGGACTTTCTTTTTCCTGCTGCTGATCCCTCTAGTTATGCACTGCAGAATTTTATTTGCCTTCACAGCTGCCTGGCCACCCTAATTATTCATTTTGCAGTCATCTCCTATCAACATACCTACATTCTTTTCTTCTGTTGTGCTGTCTAACACTTAACCCCCAATACTGTGCCCTGTTAATGGATTCTTTTTTCCTAAGTGCATATTACCATTAGAAACACTGAGCAATGGTTTCCACATTTTTGATCAATTTTTCAGTAATGTGAAATCATTTTCCATATTATGAATACCCCAGGAATGTCAACTCTATTACACACCTTCGTGTCATCAGCAAAAAGACAAACCTAGCAATCCTTCTAATGTATCACTTACAAGCACACAGAATAGAACAGGAGTTAGACTGAGGTTTGTGGTAAACCACTTGTGACTTGTCTTTGTTCAGGCAGTGCCTCATTAAAAAATCACACACTGGAATCTATCCCTGAGCCAACTTCCTATCCACTGAATCACCCAGTAGTTAAGTCCTAACCTGTACATTTTTTATGAGTTTGTTATGTGGAACTGTATCAAGTACTTTGGTAAAATGCAGATAGGCTATGTCTACAGCACCACCTTCATCGAAAACATTTGTGACATAATTTAAAAAAAATCAGTTAGATTAGTTTGCTGCTTTGGGTCCATCAAGTTGTGTGCTTTTAAATGTTCATTAATCCTTTTTTTCAGGAGTAATTCCATTAACTTCGCTATATATTTATTCATGTATTTTAACTTTAGTATTGATATATACCATTTTTCAAGAAGATAGCTGCCGAAATGAACTGTAGTCTAGAAAAGACAGTGCCATAATAAATTTGCTAGTTTTAAAGATATTAAGGCTATGTATCAGTGGTCCCTGGACATTGACCAGCAAGGAAATAAGAAGTTATTCATCAGGCAGGAAGTTGTGCTATAATAATATGGTAGAGCAACATTCACCTCTTAACATATTTACATCCTATAACATTCTCTGATTTTAAATGATGCTGTTTTGCATGATGTAGTTATGGATTGTGGCTCTTTACACATTCAGAAATATTTGTCAATCTAAAAAGGGAATGGTGGTTTTAAACTGATGTGCTAAAAGTGTCTTTCTTATAAGGTGATTAAAAGCATTCCAATGGTCATAATGGTCTACATAAAGGAAATGATCAAGAACAAAAGTTCTAGCATTAGCTATCATTAGAGGGTTAAGAACTATTGAATTTAGTGACAATTTCTTCTCATTTTGTATTAAAAAGTAAACTGCCAATGTTACTTTTATGACTTTTAAATTATTTCTATTTATTTATGGTTTATTTATTTAACCATTATATTGGCTTGTTTAGATTAAGTTGAATTAGTCAGAGGATGTAATAAGAAGAAGGAATGGCCTTGAGAAACAGAAGGAAGAGATGCTACTAAAACAATGGTCAAATAAAAGGCGCTGACTCTGGGACAAGAATATAAGATGTGTAAACATCTTAGGCAAGCCCTTTCCTAGTTTACACAAGATAAGGAGTATTCAGAGAGTTGCAGTGTTCTCTTACTATACTTTTACAGTAAAAGTAGAGACGTGACATTGGTGTCTTACTGTTCCTTGAAGGCTGACAGACTGTGACAGCCACCATGGGAAAATAGTTTTTTAAATAGCCCTCAACAACAATAAAAAGATCCATATTCCATTGCATAAAGATTGCTTTCAAATTTTTCTATAAATCAACAGCATAATCCTTGTATGTTTATTCAAAAGAACTTTCCACTATATTTAAGTAAATTTTACTGAACAATAGAAAACAACACCCAGCCAGGTAGCCAATGATATGCTTTGCTTTCATTCTTCTCATATTCTGCCTATTAAGCAGGGACTATTACAAAATGGCCCCTCAGTAAACTATGGACAGTTGAGGAATCAGCATATACAATCAACATTAAAACTCAAGAGATGTTATGGATGAAATTAAGTACTCTTTCATTCTTTCTTGTCTCTTTTTATATACACTTGCACTCATATGATCTGTTATTTTGCTAGTTTCTATATATAAATTTATTTTAGTTCAGCAGAGAAGAAAAACTACAATAATCCCAGTTGTAGTTTTCAAGTTGTTAAGAGATCCCTTCTGCCTGGACTATATACATTAATATTTGCCACAAGCCTAGACAGGAAGACTCCCAAGAGCCCCATCATGAAGAGAGTGCTGGAATTAACTCTCCTTTTTCAGTGAAACAGAACTCTTAAGATCCATTGGTTCAATATCTACAGGATGTGTAAAGTTCAAGTTACAAAGAAAAAAATACTTCCTGCTATAATACCAGTCTTACTGGCTTCTCTTATCCTATCACTCTAATCTTGTTTGTCTACAATCCTATTCCCAGTTACTTTAAAAATTCTGAAGGACAGTACATGTGAAATTCATTCAAAGTGGATTTGAGTAGCTATTTACATTACAATATTCTACTTTGTAATTTTCCTATCATAGGCAAACTCAGAAGGTCACAAATGCGAGACTATTTTTTGAAACAACAGCCAAGCCACATGAAGTCTTAAATACAGTACTAATACCTTTCTTAGCACCCATATATTAACTTTATTATGATCACAAACCAGCATAATTACATTTCTTATATTTCTTATGGCATATGATTCATGTACTGCAATCTCACTTATGATGGGAACAATACAATAGTACACTTTATTTAATTATTTATTTAATCTAATGTATTTAGTTGCCGAATTCACCAAAGCAATTCTGGGCAATGTACAATAAAGCTAAAATATAAGTGCATATAAATGCATAAAACTACTTATCATTATTAATTATAAAAACATTTAAAACATTTAAAAACTATAAAAACATAATAGAAGAAGGGATATTACTAATAATGGAGCCACATCTCACCCCTTTGGGCTGGGAAGAGAATGCCATGGTAATTCTTAACTACTTTGTAGCTAATCATAACTTAGCTATTATCATGCCTAACCACAAAGTGCTGCTTGATGCAAGTCAAACATTCTTACCTTTTGGCAGATTGATTCATGCACATAGAGAGATAACATCTCTTTGTTCACTTGATGGATAATGGGATTGGATTTAAAAATGCAGCAATAAAGTGATTTAAGAAATTGATGATATTAAAGTCTGGAAACTGCAGTGAATTTAGAATTCCTTTTTTTTACTGCTCTGTATAATTTCAGGTACTCTATATAAAATGTATCACATAACTGGATCAAATGCTATATACCATAATAGGAAACCATTAATGGCACACCCTTTGGGTGTGAAGAACTGTAACTTATTTATGAAATGTCTATTTGCCATAAGTGAAACCTGCAAAAATACACACCCTAATATCAAGAAACCTCATAAGAATTTATTGATCCCTGATCCTTACCCTTAGTTTGTGGCTCTGCTTTCGAACCAGTTTGCCATGACAAATAAAATGAACAGGACACTGATTCATTGCATTATCAGCTTTATGACGAAGCCAATCTTCATATCCCTGAATGAAACAGCAAAGAAAACATACAATCAAATGTGTGCTAAAAGAAGAAAATGGCAAACTACTGGTGCATGGTGACCAAAACAATTGCATGTATCCACTTGAAACTGACTTTCCTTTTTATCCTTTGGCCTATTATGTACCATAAATTAGAGAAACCAGGAAAGAAAGAAGGGGGTGAAAAACATTAATTAATCTGCATCCCATAATGAGGGAAGAACACTGGCTCAGAACTTTAAGAGTAGAATCTCTGCTTCCAGAACTGAGTTCCCTTCCGTGCATAGAGGAGAGCAGAACTCTTTCAATGGGGTACAGAAACAGAGCTGAAATCCTGAAGATTTTAACTCCATTTGTGCTCCCCACTAAAGGATTTCCTTTCCATGCATGGAGGAGAGCTGAACTCCTTCAGCAGGCAGCTCTTTCAGCCAGCCCCCAGAGATGAGAGGGAGACAAAATCCAAGCAGAGGGTGGCAAGTCAGCAAAGTAAGTTAAGAAACGCTGACTATCTGCTTAATTATCTATTTGATCACTCAGTGACTGAGATTCCAATCTCAATTTTAGTCAAAAGTCAAGGACTATCTCCTTATAAGAGGGGCAGGTCTTAAACGTCATGGTCCAGTTCTATCTAGATCTTTTCTGATATAATTCCTGCAGATATATATGTTGGGGAGTGCATAAAGTATTTCACTGACATATTTGAGTTTTCAGTATTTATTTACATTAAGAATTATAATTTAGAATAGAAATTAATGGCCTCATTGGAGTTCTCACAACAATCAGGAATCTTAGAGTTCAACATAAAACTCAGTTTGTATAATTATTTAATGACTAAAAACGGTCACAAGCTATTTCGGCAATCATCACTAGAAAATATAGTATTATTGCAGTACTACTGAAGTACTCAGCATAAGGTAGAAAGTATTATTCCAATATATCAGTATCTGCATGTTTATTTTCAGGCTTTTTTCCACTTAATTGTAATTGTTTTATACTTTTATTAATCAATGCATCCTTGACAGTGACAAATCAATGAATAAAGGATAAATAAAGAAATATAGTTTTCATATACACTTGGGTATAGCAAATATAACTGCTGTAAAATCATGAATAAAAACAAAAATTGAAAATCAAAAAGTGAGATATGCTTTCCAGAACAAGGGAAACATTTTTTTTCTTTCAACTAGGTAATTCTAGAAGTCCACACTTCTTAAAAGTTATTGATGTAGAAAAACACTGCTTTAGGCCAATCTTCTCTCAGTCCAACTGAGGGAATACAAAGGCAGAAGGAATAAAACATGACAACAGTCATTGAAATGAATGAATCATTGAAAAAATCCTTTTTGAAAACCATGTAGACATGATCTGCCTCCAATTCTGAAATTGAAAAACTAAAATTAAAACTCTAAAATGCTTACCTGCTTTATAGCTGTTACAATGATGACAAAGAAAAGTGGGAGCCCGCTTGTCACTGGACTGGTTGGTGTGTCAATAATTAACTGGGAAATAAAGTGTCACATATTTTTTTATAGAATATAGATTTCAACAAAAAATATATTTAAACAAAGTATAGAGTTTTCAAGCTATACTTTTATAAAAACAAACCTTGGTCTTGAAAAGCAGTGAGGTACAGCTCAACAAGGCATTATGTCTGAATAATGACTATGCAGCCTAAATATTAAGGACATTGCATAACTTAAGAAATGCATCCATATTGATAATTTCAAATGACTGATGGTGCTATTAGGTATAATGCGGAGATGGAGAGGAAAATCTGGTTTGTCTCTTAGGCTGACTTAGTTACGGTTCCTTGAAATATATCTTTAGGATGCATGTCTTCACAAACACATATTTAGTGATTCATGCTTAATATTTACAACAAAAGTGTACTTTGTTTACTGATTTTGTACAGCTCCTTCCCAAGGGCACACATTATCCTGAATTTGAAACATCCTGTTTTGAGCTCAAAATGCATATTTTGACTTTTCCAGAAGTTTCTTTTCCAAAGTTTCCAAACTCCAAATGCAGATATTTGCAAAACAGGGATTTTAGAATTACAACAGAACTGAAAAAAGTGACTTATGACCATTTTTCACAGTTACAACCATTGTAGCATCCCCATGGTCACGTGATCAAAATTCAGATGCTTGGCAACTGACTCATATTTATGATGGCTACAGTGTCCCCGGGTCATGTGATCACATTTTGAGGCCTTCTGACAAGCAAAGTCATTGGGGAAGCCAGATTCACTTAACATCTGTATTACTAACTTAACAACTGCAATTATTTACTTAAAGTGTGGTAAGAAAGGTCCTGTACATGGCTTATATATCTAA